GTCTGTCAAGGCTTGTCTACAGGTTTCCAGCCAAACTGTTTGAGGGATTCATTTGAAATTCTCAGGGATGTTTGTACCTATGAAAGTTTAGAACTGATTAGTTTTTCGACATTCTGGATAAATGTTAAGATGGCCATTTTGGATTTCCGTCCTTAAATCTTGTCTGTCAAGGCTTGTCTATAGGTTTCCAGCCAAACTGTTTGAGGGATTCATTTGAAATTCTCAGGGATGATTGTACCTATGAAAGTTTAGAACCGATTAGTTTTTCAGCATTCTGGGTAAATGTTAAGGCGGCCATTTTGGATTTTCCGTCCCAAAATCTTGTCTGTCAACGCTTGTCTACAGTTTATCAGCCAAACCGTTTGAGGGATTCATTTGAAATTCTCTGAGATGTTTCTACCTATGAAAGTTTAGAACTGATTAGTTTTTCGGCATTCTGGGTAAATGTTAAGGCGGCCATTTTTGATTTTCCGTCCTAATATCTTGTCTGTCAAGGCTTGTCTACAGGTTTCCAGCCAAACTGTTTGAGGGATTCATTTGAAATTCTCAGGGATGTTTCTACCTATGAAAGTTTAGAACTGATCAGTTTTTTGGCATTCTGGGTAAATGTTAAGGCGGCCATTTTGGATTTTCTGTCCTAAAATCTTGTCTGTCAAGGCTTGTCTACAGGTTTCCAGCCAAACCGTTTGAGGGATTCATTTGAAATTCTCAGGGATGTTTCTACCTATGAAAGTTTAGAACTGATTAGTTTTTCGGCATTCTGGGTAAATGTTAAGGTGGACATTTTGGATTTTCCGTCCCAAAATCTTGTCTGTCAAGGCTTGTGTACAGGTTTCCAGCCAAACCGTTTGAGGGATTCATTTGAAATTCTCAGGGATGGTTTTACCTATGAAAGTTTAGAACTGATTAGTTTTTCGGCATTCTTGGTAAATGTTAAAGCGTCCATTTTGGATTTTACGTCCTAAAATCTTGTCTGTCAAGGCTTGTCTACAGGTTTCCAGCCAGACCGTTTGAGGGATTCATTTATAATTCTCAGGGATGTTTCTACCTATGAAAGTTTAGAACTGATTAGTTTTTCGGCATTCTGGGTAAATGTTAAGGTGGCCATTTTGGATTTTCCGCCCTAAAATCTTGTCTGTCAAGGTTTGTCTACAGGTTTCCAGCCAAACCGTTTGAGGGATTCATTTGAAATTCTCAGGGATGTTTGTACCTATGAAAGTTTAGAACTGATTAGTTTTTCGACATTCTGGATAAATGTTAAGATGGCCATTTTGGATTTCCGTCCTTAAATCTTGTCTGTCAAGGCTTGTCTATAGGTTTCCAGCCAAATCATTTGAGGGATTCATTTGAAATTCTCAGGGATGTTTGTACCTATGAAATTTAGAACTGATTAGTTTTTCAGCATTCTGGGTAAATGTTAAGGCGGCCATTTTGGATTTTCCGTCCCAAAATCTTGTCTGTCAAGGCTTGTCTACAGTTTTCCAGCCAAACCATTTGAGGGATTCATTTGAAATTCTCAGGGATGTTTCTACCTATGAAAGTTTAGAACTAGTTAGTTTTTTGGCATTCTGGGTAAATGTTAAGGCAGCCATTTTGGATTTTCCGTCCTAAAATCTTGTCTGTCAAGTCTTGTCTACAGGTTTCCAGCCAAATCATTTGAGGGATTCATTTGAAATTCTCAGGGATGATTTTACCTGTGAAAGTATAGAACTGATTAGTTTTTTGGCATTCTGGGTAAATGTTAAGGCGGCCATTTTGGATTTTCCGTCCTAAAATCTTGTCTGTCAAGGCTTGTCTACAGGTTTCCAGCCAAACAGTTTGAGGGATTCATTTGAAATTCTCAGGGATGTTTCTACCTATAAAAGTTTAGAACCGATTAGTTTTTCGGCATTCTTGGTAAATGTTAAGGTGGCCATTTTGGATTTTTCGTCCTAAGATCGTGTCTGTGAAGGGTTGTTTAAAAAAAAGAATTTCCCATTGAGAGCAATGTTAAATTAAAACATTATTTTTAGAAATAACTAAATGGTCAATCTTTCCATTTTTCACATATTTTGTAATACATCAGTATATCTTTAGTTACAATAAAAGAAAAAATTAAGTTGGGGCAAAAATGACTGCACATTGTTTGCAGTACATATGGATAATGAGACAAGAGTAGTGGCTGGGGAAAGTGGTTGGAAATTTTTGTACTATAATATAAATATAGTCATAATGACTGTGAAATCAGTGAAGATCTGTTTCTTAAATGTATCGATATCTCTAGGCTCCAGGGTGTAAGCTGAAATATCTGTGAATGAGACTTGGTAGCCAAGAAGCCATAGAGCCCTGATTGGTTACTGGGTAGTTTCGGAAGTTTAAAAGGTTAAATATTGCATCGCCACACAAATCTCCTAACGAAGCATTAGGGTCATAATATTTCTACAGAATCAGTTTGTAGAGGAACACATTTGATCTTATCAAGTCATCTCCTAAATTTAAAATGTGTGTATACATGTACATTCTCCAATGATACATTGTGACAATGATACATCACACTGATATTTTGAAATTCTGTCATGTTTTATTTGTATTTCACAACTATCTTGTATTTAAATTTTACGATGCTGCAATTGTATTTTACAACTACTTTGTATTTTTGAGATCAATTGATGATTATAATGTTAGACTTTATGTCAATGTCCAGACTGTATGCCAACCTCTCTAGTATGTGATTATACTAGATTTCATTAATGATACATGTACTAAATTGAAAACTTACTTATATCTAAAGTCCTATATTTTAATAGTAATGAAATGTCACCTAACATTTGATGATGTTTTGAATGCATTGATTTGGTGTCTATCAATACATGTTTTTAACTTAATGCTGCAAAATGATAAAATTTACCACATCCACTTTATTAGTACTTCACCACTAAAATAAGTGTATTACAATATAGCACATAGCTTTAAAATGTTGTTAGAATACTACTTTGAGCTGTTTTAAGCTGTCATATTTTGCCTGAAGCTGCAAAATAAAATTGGCAAGACAAAAATTCTGTATCTTTTTCCTATTCATTGTATTTTCTCTGAGACCAATAAGGGTATCAACCTATACCTTTAGGATAGTATTCATATTTGTACTAGCAATGTATGGTGTAGAAATCAGAACAATAGCTCATATATCCTTTGAGTTGTGAACTAACTTCATAGTACCCCCTAGAATATTTTCCTAGGGGGGTAAAAATGCCAAAATTCAGTGTCATGGCCATCCCATTGAGCACTTGTCTTTTGATATCTTTATCAGAATGAAAAACTGATCTAGTAGTAAAAATAGGTCTGTCACTTTTTCTAAAAAAAAATGCCTCAAAAACTTGAATTATTTAAATTGGAACCTGTCTTTCAAAAGTGATCATCAGAGTTTAGATTCAAGATTACCTTCAATCACTCTGTCAATGTCAAAAAGATATTTACAGTAAAACCTGTCTTATCCGAACACCCATGGGACCAGCCAAAAGCGTTCAAATTGGCAGGTGTTCAAATTTCGAGGATTTTGTTGGTCGGGGGGGGGGGATTTTCATTGTTCAGTGCACTATATTGAACACTTAATACTAAGTCAGAAAACAATACATGTTGTTGATGAGTTAATTCTACAATAGGCCTATAGCCTATATGCTATGTTTTATTTATATTTTGAACAATTTCATCATTTTAGTAAAAATAACTCTTATATTCTGGCAAAAACTTTGTAATACACTGTAAAAGTATATGATATGGCTTATCCCATATTATGGTTATATAGCACTGCTTTACTTTTGCTTGAAAAAGTCCTTCATTGTTGTTTGTTTCTTGGCACTTTTAGCATTAGCAATATTTGAGTAGATATCCTCTTCAAGTAAAAATAATCTTTCATGAGTGTTCATTCGAGATGATGTATAATCCTTCAAAATATCAAGGGCATTCAGGATGTCAGATGTATGCGAATATTACGGAGTTGGATTTTTTCTCCTTCTCGTGATATAATCGTGTCTGCTAATGGCATCTGTGTTGTCTTTGTGATTATAAAACATTTACTGATTGAATCTTAGCTATCATAACAGACCCATGGGATATAAAACAGTTAAGACCTGTTCATAATCCAAATCAAAAACATCCAGTTAATTTACAATAAGGATAAACCAATTATCTCCCAGACTCTCACCTTTCTCTTAATCCAAATCAAAAACATCCAGGTAATTTCCAATAATGGTAAATCAATTATCTTCTTGATTCACACCTTTCTCTTAATCTAAAAATAAAACATTCAGTTCTTTTCTAATCGGATAAACCAATTAACTCCTGTATTCACACCTTTCCAAAACATCCTGTTGTTAGGGATGTCACTGAGACTAAATAAGTTAATTAGGACAATTGGTTCTTTGATTGCATTTGTATATATGTAAAGATAAATAACAACTATAACATTGACTCAATATGTGGCTTTAATTGAAATGTCTAGACATTTGATTTCTGATAAAAATGTTCAGATTAGACAGGTCACTTTTTCAAATCTGGTTGTTCACTGTTCAAATTAGGAGGTGCTCAGATTTCAAGGTTTTTTTAACATGGGAGTCAATGGGAGTCAATCGGACCGAAAAAAAGTGTTCAAATTGGAAGGTGTTCGGATTAGCCAGGTGTTCGGATTAGACAGGTTTTACTGTACTTGCTTCAAAGTGACCAATTTGTTTTCAAAATCATCTCCCAAGTTCTCAAAAATTCCACTCTGATTTTTTTTATTTTAGACTTGACCTTCATTGACCTTCTCAAGGTAGAAAAGGTCATAAAGGTCTATTTTTAGCTTTCCTCGGATTGACCAATCTTCTTTTGAAAATCATCTAGGCCTACAAGTTCTCACAAGTTCAAGTCTGACTTAAGGAGGAAGTAAAACCTATATCCAGTTGTAAGGGTATGACAGTGGGTGTCATTATGTGTTACAATCCCCTCATACACAGAAACATATTGATATTCTATTCATATTTCAGGCATATGTGTTTGATATAAGGAAAGGGACATATCTTCACAAGTTAACTGGGCACACAGACACTGTATCAGATGTTGCCTTCCACCCCCTCCACCCACAGGTAACGATAAAGCAAATATATAAATCAGGATAATCATGATTATAGTGAATTTGTCTACATTTTGGTCTCTATTGGTAATATTTAAACAGTGAACATGTATATAATTAATTACTAATTACTGAACATGCAATTTTAAAAAAACTTCAGTCATTAATTCTGAGTTATGTCTTATGATGGTTTCAGTTGGTGACTGCTTCATTAGATGGTAAACTGCGTCTTTATAAACCACAATCCTGACAGCATTGCAGTTCTGACATCAACAACAACTCTGATATCAATTCAATTACAATTAGTTACACTCCTGACATCAACAACAACAACAACTCTAATATCAATCCAATTACAATTACCGGTAGTTACACTCCTGACATCAACAACAACAACAACTCTAATATCAATCCAATTACAATTAGTTACACTCCTGACATCAACAACAACAACAACTCTAATATCAATCCAATTACAATTAGTTACACTCCTGACATCAACAACAACTCTAATATCAATCCAATTACAATTACCGGTAGTTACATTCCTTACATCAACAACAACAACAACTCTAATATCAATCCAATTACAATTAGTTACACTCCTGACATCAACTTAGAAAAGGTTTGTTTTCCTTTGGACACTAGAGCAACTGCCAGATGAGAACTTTAGCACATGCTGCTTGCATATGAGATACATGTATCTATGTTATACAAACATGTACGGTATAATACATTACTGATCCCGAAAAGATTTTCCAAACTATGGAACTTTTTGCAGCATTCCTATGAACATTGATTTGATTTGAAAACTATATTTATTCTTGGTAGCTCTATCAGTAAAAAACTGGTCTTCCTAGAGGCCCAGTAATAATTTACAATATGTACAATAAATATAGGAACATACAAATAGACATATAGGACATATAGAACAAGTTGATATATATGTATCTTCAAAGAAGACAACCAAAAGAACAACCAACTGTCAGAATTGAATGCAATAAGTCGAAAACAGAATACAATGTTTTTGCGAGATTTATCTATATTGTAACCCCTAAGAAGTAATAAATATGGCTTCTCTAAGCCAAAATAATCTGAAGGAAAAAGCCAATCAGATTGGAACAAATTTGATCTGGCTTTTTAAATTTTAATTTCTATTGATGTAAGTGGAAATTCATGGCTAAGAACAATCATTGAATTGATACTGTTAACGAATTAATTCAAGCCTCAGAATTTATAAACAAACTTGTTTTACATCATATAACACGAGAAAATTAGGGGGTTACTCTAATTGTGTTTTTTAGGAGACCCGATCTCTTTAAAGTCTCCGATAAATCGGACTACGTATACCTCCGTGTTTGTGAAACAGTTTATTCCCAGTTAAAAAACTAACATGAAATTCCTAAAAGTTGAAGTCCTAAACATTTATTATTTCCTTATCAAAATCCAATCTTTACATTGAGTTTTTAAGTTTAATCAGTATGTTGTGCCATGGTAAAAACTGTTCTGAGGATGATTTTCTGAGATGATACTAAAGAATAGTCTGAAAGTATGGAAAGTTCCACAGGGAAGGTTCCAAAAAGGAGGCGAATAATAATGTCCCATAATTACCAAATAAATGAACCAATAATGAACAAATTAAAGATAATGTCATATTAAATCTACTGGACTTCCTAAACCTCCTCTAAATGGAGGCAAATGTTGGTTTCCATAAGGAACCAACATTTGAACCAATAGAAAGACAAGTAGATTATGTAATAAAGTAGAATATACTGGACTTTAAAGCCCTCCTTTATGGGACTTTGAACTTTCCTGATAGAAAAGACATAACAATATGAAAAGAGCCAAGATTTTAATGTTATTTATGAATAATATCATGTATTGAGTGCAAATGGACTTAAAGTCTCCGATAAATCGGGCTACGTATACCGCCGTGTTTACATTAGGGGATTAGAAGAGTTTATTTTTTATTTAGGTATGCAAGCTACGTATATCAATATTAGGCCTTCATTCATGTACTCATGTGCCTGTAATCAGCATGCCCTTCAATATTATGTAAACCAGGCTATTCAAGTACTAGTACTGTATAATGTAAACTATTTATGTGTGTACTACATACAATACAATTCCCTGGGAAACAAAACTCAAATACTTTTTATATGTTCAAAATGAGCCATTTGATTGATGCAAACACTAAATAGCTTCATAAATAACATCTACAAAGTATATCTAATAGTAATTTTCAATTTCAATGGTGAAACTTCCCTGGTTACGATTATATGGGAAATCATCTCGAGACGAAGATCGTTCGCCTTCCTGGCTTACCTCTGAATCGTGTACCTGGTAATCTCTTTATATAGTTTAGCGAGAGCGGTGCGCCTGCGCAGTTTTAAACTTTGGCGCTCACTTTAAGGAGAATAAAGAATAGAAATGATGTACATCAAATGTATAGAACAATAAAATATATCTTAAAACCTAAATCAATGTGATATAAAAATGAAGTTTGTACCAAAATTTAATGTATATGAAAACCTAAACCCTGTTTCACTAGTAGTAATTTTCAATTTCAATGGTGAAACTTGCCTGTTTACGATTATACGGGAAATCAACATGGGACGAAGATTGTTCACCTTCCTGACTTACCTCTGAAGCCTGTACCTTGTAATCTCTTTATATAGGTTAGCGAGAGCGCTGCGCCTGCGCAGTTTTAAACTTTGGCGCACACTTTAAATATTTTAAGTTTAGGTTTTGGTACATAAAGTGAATTTTCCACAACTGCTCTAGTAGCATAATTATGGACAGACTTTGTCTCTTTGAAACAGTTTTGAATATATTTTTTTATATTTAAAATTCTTTTTTATTTCAGATAATTTAAAAAGATTACATCAATTTAAAAATTTGTTTACATAAGTTACCTGTTGCATTACATAATAATATTTCTCTTGGAGAGCTCTATTTTAAAATTATAGTACAAGTCAATAGTATTATAAAACCCTAGAGTATGTTTATGTATACACCACTTTGCAATGAGTATAATATAATTTAACTTGTTAGTTTGAACATCATCTTTAAAAATGCCTTGTATTATTTCATCTTCTGACATGTTATACATAAAGTGTTGTTTAATAATACCCCATAAAGGTTGAATAGAAGTACATGATGCAAATCTGTGCTGCACAGTATCTAGCACATTATCAGCACATTTTGTACAATGAGGGGTTTCTTTTTTCTTCATTTTGAATAAACTATTATTTGTGACAACAATGTTATGGAGTATTTTCCACTGAAATGTAATCAACTTTGTTTCTTTTGTCAAATGATGTGCAAGTGTCCAATAAAATTCACTATTTTGCACATCTGTTATTACAGTTGATGTGGGGTTTTGAAATAAACTCTTAATAAACACATTATAAATGTATTTTGTGTCTACTGTTTTTACTTGTGTTGTTTTACATCGAGATATACCCTTTAATATGTTATACTCTAAGATACAGTTTAAATTAGTTTTTTCATTGAACAATTGTAGAGCTATTAAATTGTCATTTTCATATTGTATGTGATCTAAAGAGAATATATTTTTCTTCATTAATCTCTCTAAGTATAAAACCTTATGTTTATATTTTACATTCTTGTTTAACCATAGAATATTAACCACTTCTTGTTGTAATTGTGTTGATTGGTTGTTAAAATATATGGGGGAAAGTAGCCTGAAATGGTCTGGTACATTAAATTGATTTCCTGTATCTAATCATTTCTTGAATTGGAGTCCAATAAAGCGACACTTGAAACATCAAAATTAGCTCCCAGTATAATTTGTGCTGCCATCTTTTGAAGTTTCTCTAGTCTAGTCAGATAGATTTTATTAGAACATTCTCCCCAGACAATTGAGCAGTAATTAAATTCTGGTAATATGATTGTATTATAAATTGTGACAAGTGCTTCCTTTGAAACATATGGTTTAAGCCTTCTTAAAATACCTATCTTACAAGAAATCTTTGAACAAAGCTTTTCAATATTTACTTTGAATGCTAATTTGTCATCAACAATAGCACCTAAATATTTATAAGTTTCAACATTTTCAATTACATTATTTGATATTGTTATAACATCAATCTTCATCATTTCCATACTTTGAGGTGCATGTATTTCCTATTTTCATTAATTTTGTTTTACTATAGTTTAAATTCATCTTATTACATTTCATCCATTCATCAATACAGTTAATATCATTTTGAAGTATTGCATGTAGAGATAGAACATCACAAGTTGACCTAAATTATGCATAATTCATATGAGTATGTAATAGTACAATAACGTCATTTCTGCTGGCAATATAGTGAAATATTGGACCAAGGGCTGCAGGCCCAAGGTCCAATATTTCACTATTTTGCCCGCAGAAATGACGTTATTACTACCATGTTGAAATGGACCATGGTATGACCATGGTATATGGCCATGAAATGCAATGAAATACCATGGTAATACCATGGCGGATCATGATCGTTGAATGGCACCATTGCATTTCATGGTTAACAGCGCGTTTTTAACATGGAGTTTTCCATTGAAAAAATACTGCCGTTTCGCAGTATTCCATGGTCAGAAACCATCAAATGCAATGATATCATGGTCAAGCGCTCCTGACCATGAAATGCAATGGTGCCATTTAACGATCATGATATACCACGGTATACCATGGTCAATTAACATGTAATTTTGTATCTAAAAAATACCACCGTTTCACAGTATTTCATGGTCAAATACCATCAAATGCAGTGATATCATGGTCTAGACATTCAACCATGATATGCAATGGAGCCATCCAATAATCATGATCTACCATGGTATAACATGGTCACTTTACTTAAAATTTTGCATTTAAAAATACTGCTGTTTTGCAGTATTTCATGGTTGCAAACCATCAAATGCAATGAAGTACAGTCAAGATGTTTAGTCGAAGACTGGAGGTTGGACTTACAAAGTATTGAGTTGATCTCCTATTTTAGCGACAACAGTCAAAAAAATAAAGCAAATTTGTTTAACAAAAAAATTTTGTTTCTAGGGTTATTAACTTAATTATTCATAATAGAAATCAATTTATTAAATAAAGGAACAAAAGTATATAAAGTTGTGATTTTGATGAATATCAGAATCACTAATTATAATAATTTGGTTATCTAATTAACATTTATTAATAAAGATATTTCATGTAAAAAATACTTTTTGAACATGGTCTTTCATTGTATTTCACTGCATTGCAAGAAAGACCATTGCATTTCATTGCATATCATGATCAATCATTGTATTTCATTGCATTTCATGGTGAAACGTGGTATTTCATTGTATTTCATGATCCATT